GTCTCCCTCGTACGACGTCTACATTGTTTTAAGGTTTATAAAACCCTAATCCACTGCTGGGTAAGGCAGATGGGCTTAGGTTATTAGGTTGGATCAAGCCCGTTTCATTTGTTGTTGTTCTGGACCCTTAGACTTGGACCTGGATAAAAAATAAAATAAAAATATATAAATAAAATCATATAGTAAAAATTTACTTAAAAACCTATATACACATTTTCGAAAACATTTTTTCAAATTATATATTATATATATTTTTTAAAAACGTTTTAAAACTATATATATAGTTTAAAGAATGTTTTCAATATATTATATATATTTTCCAAAATGTTTTCAAAACTATATATTATATATATTTTCAAAAATGTTTTCAAGACTATATATTATATATATTTTCAAAAATATTTTCAAAACTATATATTATATATTTTCGAAAATGCTTTCAAAACTATATATGATATATATTTTCAAAATTGTTTTCAAAACTATATATTATATATATTTTCAAAAATGTTTTCAAAATTATATATTATATTTTTGAAAATGTTTTCAAAACTATATATTATATATTTATATATTCAAAAGATGTTTTCAAAATTATATATTATATATGTTTTCAAAACTATATATTATATATATTTTCAAAAACTAATTTTTTTTAAAAAAAAACTATATGTTTCAAAAAATATTATTTCAAAAACTATACTATATTATTATATATATTAAAAAAACTCCGGAAGAAAGTGAATGTCTACAGTTTCCCCTCTTTGTCCTTTTTTGTGTAACGAAAAATTAGGACAAAGATAAAAGGACACAAATTTTCGTTTGGTATGAAGAGGTTCTTGAGTCTAATATCCTCTATTATGGAGTTAAAAATTGACTCTGATATTGCAATTAGGAATAACTCCCTATTAAATTGAGTTGCGAATGACTCCTCTATCACGAAGTTGAGTCGGTCTTGAAATTATATCATTCTTCATGAAATTGAAATCGTAGTTCGGAATTTAAATCGAAAGGTGGCTTCTTGTTGCCAAATCGTAGTCAACCTTGGTCTTCTTCTCGGTTTAAAGACCTCGGTTTGAAAATTCAACTGAAAAGTAGTTCCTCGATGCTACCATGTGATTAATATGCCCTCGAGCTGAATGGAATCGAACTCGAAGGTTTTTGTTGATAGATAGCCCTTCTCGCCTTGAGTTATGCTATAAATTTGACTGGGATATAGTTCCTTGTTGCTAAATCGCAGCCAACCCAGGTCTTCTTCTTGACTTAAAGACCTCAATTTAAGCTTCAACTGGAAAGTAGTTACTCGTTGCTACCATGAGGTTGATATGTCATCGAGCTGAATGGAATCGAACTCGAAAGTTTTTTGTTGACAGATAGTCTTTCTCGCCTTGAGCTATCCTTTAATAGGCTGGGAGATAACCCACTATTATTGCAGATGACTCATTTGCTATGAAACTAAGTCAATCCATATAAACCTCTAGTTCACATGCTCTGAACAAAAATAAAGTAGGAAATAATCTCAAAAACAACCTAGGTTTTGAAATGAAGTTTTGGGGTGGTCTCTAATTCCCTGTGGTCTCCCGATTTAGGTTCTAAAGAAGGTACCCGAGTTATCCTTGCTGGTACCCCCTTAGGCTTGTCAGACCCTCAGTCCTAACCCCATTATAAGCTTATGTGGATCAAGTTAAACTCGATAGGACACATTCCCTTATGTCTATACGGAGAATAAATTCACATGAAGACATATGGTATATGAATCCCGAAGGTTATTTGCTAGGCCTATACGGAGAATATATTCCCACGAAGGCATCGCTTTCACCTCCACTTAAAAGGGTTTGGAGCTCGAGTATAGAGCTTGAGATCAAAATTTTAAAAATCTGAAATCATTAAAAAAACGTCAGTACAACTATTTATTTGGAAAAAAAATCAAAGATAAGTAATAAGGATCGAATAAATAAAATTTAAACTTACAATTTTCGCTTAAAAAGACAACTGTAAATTAATTTTGGCCCGACTCACTTACTTTGTCCCCAGCGGAATCGTGAAGCTGTCACAACCGCCCTTTGAGTGGGTCCGGAATTGGGCTTCAACTTAAATAAAACACGTTAGAGCCGCCACCGATAATTTCAAAAATATTTAGGTTGATCGGACACCATCTTACCTGATCTACGTTTTACCAGAAATATGTCAGATTCGGGAGTCGGTTACAGCTAAGGAAGGATTAACACCCTTGAACTGCTCTTTCGATATCATTTTTATTTATCAGTTGTCTTAATTGCAAAATTTAAAATTAAAATTTATAAATTCGATTCGAATTGCTTACATCCGGTCGCTAAAAATTTCCCCTAAAAAGTTAAAAATGTTAGATTATAAAAAAAATTAAGTAAATTTTATAAAAAAAATTAAATTTTAGAAAAAATAAATCAAAGAAATAAATATTAAAACTTAAAAAAATGTTATGGAAAAAATGTTAAAAGAAAAAATTAAATGAAATGAAGAAAATATTAAATTCTAGAAAAATAAAAAAAATGTTAAAAGAGAAAAAAATAAATTAAAAAAGAAATGTTAAATTTTAAAGAAAATACAAGAAAAAAAGATCAAATTGAAATGAATTAAAATTCATGGATCAAATTAATTTTAAGAATGAGTTGCAAGAGAAAAAAATAAGGTTAGGAGACTGAATTGCAAAATACAAGTATAATCAAGGATTAAATTGAAATAATTCAAAAGTCAAATGGCCAATTTATAATAGGTGATCAAAATGAATTATACATCAAAGTTTGAGGGATTGCAGAAATAATTAAACTATTTCATAACTACAATGTGGCCCTCCCTATAAATAGCCCAAAACTCTAAAAAATCATTTATCCTCATTCACACAAAAAAAATTCTCCCCAAAATAAAAAGCTCTCAACCCTCTCCCTCGAAATTCCAACCGGCTAACAGTCGACCACTCTCTGACGACGCCCCGCCAAGGCAATAACCGCTCTGGCCACCGCCTCTGGTGGCCGAAAAAATCTGAACTTCATCACAATGTTTACCTCAACACCCTAAACCCAAATCCTCTAAAACTATTCTCCCTGGCGTAGATCTAACTCAAACTGTTCTCCCTGGCATAGATCTAACTCGAAAGATTCAGGTTTTACCTTTTTCGATGGTTTTTCGTTTTTCTTGAGGGCCCTTCCTCTTCCTTAATGTACTCCGATGATAACCTCAAGTTTTTTTTCTTCTCCTTTGAACGTTGTTGTTTGGCTTGGCTTGTTTGTGTTATGGTTGCTATTTTCTCCGTACATTCTTTGATGCTCTTCTTCTCGGCTGTGTAGGTATATATAGTTCCTTGACGGGGCTATTTTTGGCTATAACGATGATGTTTCCCTCTTAAATCGGTGATGGAACCAGTCCCAATTTTTTTGGGATTATAGGATTGTTACCTTGCACGTTTGTATCTCTGTTTCACCATGTTGCCAAAAAAATCGAGGGAAATATTTCCCTCTGATTTGCTCCCTGATTTTTGGTTTGGGTAACCTTGCTGGCGTGTGGCCTTCACACTCGCCACCGCCAGCCGCTTGGTCTCCTTCGTGCGATGCCTATATCATATTACGGTTCATGAAACCCTAACCCACTGTTGGGTCAGGCATATAGACTTAGGTTATTGGGCTGGATCAGGCCCGTTTCGGTTATTGTTGTTCTGGACCCTTGGACTTGGACTTGGACCTGGACCAAAATAAATATAACGTAAATAAAAACCATATAGTAAAAATTTACTTAAAAACCTATATACACATTTTCGAAAACTTTTTTTCAAATTATATTATATATATATATTAAAAACGTTTTAAAACTATATATATATTTTAAAGAATGTTTTCAAAATATTATATATATTTTCAAAACTATATATTATATATATTTTTAAAAATATTTTCAAAACTATATATTATATATATATTCAAAAATATTTTCAAAACTATATATTATATATTTTCGAAAATGCTTTCAAAACTATATATGATATATATTTTCAAAAATATTTTTCAAAACTATATATTATATATATTTTTAAAAATATTTCAAAACTTTATACTATATATATATTTTCAAAAAACTGATTTTTAAAAAAAAAACTACATGTTTCAAAAAAAATTCTTTCAAAAACTATACTATATTATTATATATATATTCAAAAAAACTCCGGAGGAAAATAAATGTCTACAGTAATATAAGATGTTTTATCAAGTCTCTCAAGTATTGAAAGTTAAAAAATAATCCTCAATTATAGGGCATTGTTTTGTTAAGTCCACTAACTAGTAAAATTATAAAATAATCACTTAACTATTCATTTTGTTCCAAACTCATCGTTTTTCGTTAAAATATTTATGACCAATTTAAACTGAACATTAACATGTTAAATGAGATATAAATATAATATGATCCCAGAATTTTAAATAACTATCATATATCAGTTAGTAAGTTAGTGGCTAACTCGATCTATCATCATTTTTTAACAAAAAGTGACGAATTTGAAACACAATGAATAATCGAATAACTATTTTATAACTTTTAATAGTCAAAGAACTTAATAAAACAATATCCTATAATCAACAGACCATTTTATAACCTTTAATAATCAATAGACTCAATAAAGCAAGGTCCTATTTTCAAGGGGTCATTTATGTATTTTACGCTTAATTAAACTATGATTGAAATTAGTTAATACTAATATATTCTTAAATCAATTTAAATTATATTAAGATATTCTTAAATTAAATTTTGTTCAATTCAGTCCCTAAACGGTGTTGTTTAATTTAAGTCTAAACATAATTCCTTTTTTTTCCTTGTGAAATTCAAATTCCAAGACTAAGATATCCCTACCCCCACATCCCAAATCTATACTCATAGTTACTGCGTTTCAGTGATAATACAACAGAAAAGAAGCATGTAAAACTTGAGATGATCCAAAAATAGATATAAACTACAATTCAAGCTGTAGAAGATGAATGGTATTTTATCAACTTTTCTTATGGGGTAAGAGCTTAAGTATACAAATGTAAAACTCGAAATATAGAAGATTTAGATCAACTTATTAACCATTATTTGCGTGCTTCAGTTTTCTTCTGTTCTCTCGCTGTAACAAAACAGATAGAAATAACATCAGCTTTCAAATGAAATTGCTAATGTGCCTATCTGATCTACATCCATGTTTTGATAGATATTCAACCATGGATCCAATAAATGTTTTCCAAGAACCCTCTACATGTATTAAAAGTGCTGAAAAAATTAAGTATACTCGTGTCTGAAACATGAATCTGATGCCAATTCTAATATCACAAAATTTGGGGCAATTAAATGCGTTCATTGAAATATTATAAGGGAGAGATAATTGGTGACGGGAACCATACCGGCCTTCTCTTCCTCTCTCTTCTTAGCAGCCTCTGCCCTTTGTTGTTGTATCAAGGCTAAGCGCTCTGCAGTTGAAAAATACGCAAGAGACGAGAAATGTAAATAAAGGAGAGTTGATGTCAAGCCGATAACTTATCAACACCTCCATGAAAGACTGATCTAGATTGTTATGTAGTAAAGAAAACAGAAGCAGTTTTGACACCTAACGTATCCATCTGTGGTTTTTGTTTAGTTCAACTTCCCACCAATGTCAACAAAAATATAATGTAGTTATACACAATTTACCCGAGAGAATAGCACTTTTTACGGGAAGAAACCAGTTAAAAAATTCCTAGGAAAACTTCTTATAGGACTTTTCACAAACTTGTCCTATAGATTCCAGTCATATTTTAAAACCACACATGTATAAGAGTTAAGACAGCTATAGAAATCATGTTACATATCCGTACTCTCCTCGGCAATCAAGTACCTCGATACTCCCATATAATATTTGTAATTTGGAGTTTGGACAATCATCTTCTACCGATGCTTAGATAAAACATTTAATCATATTTGTAATTTGGAGTTTGGACAATGATCTTCTATCAATGCTTAGATAAAAACATTTAATCATGTGTCACACTTGCATCAAGGATGGTTTATGCACAAAAGGGAGATGAGTTATTACTATCATTATTTTCATCTCCCTTCCTCAGCACCTAATGAACATAATTTCAACCTCAGCTATACATGTTCAAATTCAGTTAACCACAAAGAAGCAAAGTTCCACTGAAGGGGGGGGGGGGAGATAAAAAGCCATGTTTTAGTATAATAATATTTGTTAGGGGGCACGAATCGAGTGACCTCAGTGGTAAACTAATTGTTATTATTCCTTGAGGTCCAGAGTTGGAGCACCAAGAATATTAGGGTATGAGCGTTTAATGTCAAATAATTGAAAGTTATCTTTGAGCATATACTGCCTGTACTTACCCCATATTAATCAAAAAAATGCTAGGGGTATTAGAAGTCCTTGGCAATTTAATAAATACTCAATTAAGGAGAGTAAAAGAGAAAAGAGAATAATTAATGAATAATATATTATCCACTAGTTACCTAAATCTTTTCTTGCTTTTTCAGTTTTCCCTTGTTCCCTTGTTCCTTGCTTTTTTTGCTTTTCTATTTCCTCTCTGCAGTCATAAAATGTAAAGCATGAGCATAATCCAAGTCAGTCTCAAAGTAAAAACTAATTGATACACCATCAACCATTGCAGCAAAAAATTCATAATACATAAGATATATATATAGCTTCAAAAGATGAAAATTTGCAAGCAAGAGCAGCATATTTCGAAGCAAATAAATCTAAATCAGTTTCAATGAGAGATTAAAATGTTCCACACATTACTTGCTGAAATGACAAGGAAAAATATTTTTAGTCATATCCTACTCCTTTTCCAACTAGGATAAAAATCAATAAACTATTCAGTCCCAGAGGAAGTACTTAAGCAAACAAAAATTTGTTCCAGATGCACATGATAATGCAGTGATCAGCCGTTTCATGAAGAAATAGAATTACAAACCTTTCACGCCTTGATAGTTCAGTTGTTCTCCCCATCTAGAACATAAATTTCAATTTCTCAATGCAGTTATAAATTCATATATATATATATATATATGATTAAGTGCAGAATTTGTGCAGCAGAGGAGCAATTGTCAAACTTACATCAACATCTTTAGCTTTAACATTCTTTTGTTTGGCCAAATTTGGATTCTCAATCTCAATAAGCCCTTGGGTACCTTTTCGTTTCTGCCATATTAGCAACAAAATCAACAGGAAATATAAAAGGTAAATAAATAGGACATAAAGCACTTATTGCAAATGGAACAAATGTCATTTGCATTAGACCAAAGAAGGGCAAAATGTAATGACCTCAGGCTCTTCTTCCACATCTTCTTCAGACTCTTCTTCTTCTTCCTTCACTTCAGCTTCTTCCTAGAATGACAGTTAAAATATCATCTCATCTACCAAGTGAAATGAAGTATGGAAAATAAACACATACACATCCATAAAGTGAAGAAGGAGAAGCATAAGAACAATGCTAAGTTGCTAACAATAATATTCAAGAAAAAAACTTGAGTTTTCTGATTAAACAGTAAACACTTGATGCAAATAATTATGAAGCATGTAAAGGAAAAGGAAAAGAGATCAACCATCATCAAATTCATTGTCAATATTAATGAATACCTATCCATTTATAAAATATATACAAGCCAAATTCAAATTTCGTGGCCATTAAAAACATCTAAATGTGACAAAGAAAAGATAAAACTTCAAACATATAGAGTCCAACCTAAACTAGCATTCCCTTGAAAATAAACTATAATAAAGATGAAAAATTACCCAAACAACCAAAATCTAAGAAAATTACAACATTCAACCTGTCATCCACCCTACAGGAAAAGAGATCAAACATATCTTGCCAAAGTTCAATCAAAGTATCATTTTTGGTTTGTCAAACTAGTATTTTCCTCTTCAAAAAAATCACTCTTTTTGGACAATATACAGCGATAATACATGATAACAACAAACAAATTTCCATAAGAAGAAGTAAACTATTAACAATCAAAAACTAATTTCACCATACATATCATTCTTCAAATATTATAATGACATGTGAATAAAAATCTTACCTTCTTAAAAGTACGGGGACGAGCAGAGGTACCAGCACCTGAAACCATTAAAACATTTGAACAAAGCACAAAATAAGTGAGATTGATGACAGAAGTTATGAAACCTCAGAAGAAAAGAACAAAGAACTTTTTTTGGTCTCTGAATTTGACTCAAACTACAAATTGTCAGCTGACCTGATTAAAATAAACAAAAGTATTTAAATATACAAAAAAATTGGAATCTAACAATTCATACACTAAATACGGAATCGTTTCTAAGTTTATTAAAAACTAAAACCTAAGAGAAAACATTGGATTTCAAAGTAAAAAATTATCTATTTTCTCTGTTTAACATCTAAAACGAAAATTAAAAAAAAGGCAACAAAATCAAAACCGATACGCTACAGAAAAGGTATGAAAACACGCATAAGTACATCACATGCAAGCGAATTGAAATACACAGACAGCTTCGAATCAAACAATTCATCCATGAAATTGTAGAGTGATTTTAAGTCTAAAAGTAGAAAAATTTAAATTTTAAAATAAAAATGTCTGTATTTCCCTCTTTTTAGCATCTGAAAATTTAAGCGAAAAGAAGGAACAAAATAAAAATCAATACACTAGAGCTATTAATCCAGCAGTTGAAAGCTAGGTTAGATCGAATACCAGCAAACCGTATAACAATACAAGTACATGCAAACGAATTTAAAAAAAGTATATAAATACGAAGAAAATGAAAAGAGCTCTTGAATTTTTATCAATCTAGTGTTGAGGGCCCATTACATATGGGAACAAGGGATATCCATTTTTTTTTACATCAATTTATGCTTCGGAAGTGAAGAATTTAAGTTTGAGTTAAAAACTTTAACCTTTTAGTCACTGAAGTTGATAGTATTTTCTAAATTGGTCCCTGAGTTTTTCCATATCCACATCGTGCTCAACAGATAATTACTAGTAAGTGAAAGAGAATATATATTGTTAATTTAAATAATATTTTTTACTTAATATATAAAAGAAAATCTTTTTCCAATTGAATTAGAATCCATTTATAGGATAAAACAATGAAAATATATTTAATGGACAACAAAAGCATAGGATAAGCATGAATATTTGATGTAGAAAAATCGTAACCCTTTTCTCCAAAGAACAATGATATTCATTAAAGTGAGAATATATGATATGAAAGTAGTGATTCTTTTTGCATAGTTTTTATAAAGTAAAGTGGTCGGCGCATCATAAATTTTGTGGGAAAAAAAAAAGGCAAGAGTTAATCTAATGTAGCGCGTTAAATTTAAGTATACTGTTGAGTTTTACTTAATATAAAAAGTTTAAATTTTTTAAATTTAAATTGAACTCATAATCATAAATTAGAGTTTGACTTGAATTTGAAAAACTTGAATTTTAATTTTTTTTTAAATTTAACTCGATTAAATTTTGAATTTGAGATTAATTAAATTTTATACTCAAACTTTAACCTTAAGTAAATAAAATCTTTATAATATATTTAAAAATATATATATATATTATATAAATATCATTGACATTTGTACGCAAAATTTTACGCTATAAGAAAATACATTTTACGGTAGCTTCATACCGCAAGTAACTTGATATCCACCGATTAACCGGAAACTAGCACGTAACCTTGTACAGAGACAACACCAAAAGTTACTAAGGGTATATTTATTTCACTGTAATTGATCTTTCAGAAAATATTTTTCTCATTTTTTAGTATTTGGTTAGTGGGAAATAATCAATATAATTTATTTTTCTGATCAATAAAATTTCGTTTATATTTTTAGAAAATAAATTACGGTTTGATTTTGTGTTAGCGATTTTTCTAACTTTTTACTTTAAAATAAAAATAATTAAAATAATATTATTTTATGTATTTAATATAATATATTATTTTAGTATATTTTAATAAAAATATTAATTATTAAAATATATTTATTAATGATTTTAATAATATAATATAATATATTTTAATGTTATAATAATATTTTATATTAAATTTTTATTTTAATAATATATACTGAATTATTAGTAAAATTAATTTTATTTATTAATTTTATAAAATTATATTATTAAAATATTAAATATTTTAAATATATTTATTAATAATTTTTAAAATATAATTTACTATTATAATTTTAATATTATAATAATATTTTTATTTTATAAAATTATAAAAATAAAATTTTAATAATAATATTGACAAATAATATTAAATCAATTATTTTTTTATTTAAAAATAATAATATTAATTATTTTATAATTAATAATATTATTTATTGTATTCATATTTATAATAAATAATTTTTAAAAAATTTATCAATCAATGAAAAATAATTTACATAACATTATCTAAACATCGTAAAATGATTTTCAGAATTTATTTTCCTAAAAATGTAATTCATTTGATAGAAATCATTTTTCGAAATCAGTTTTTTTGTGAAACAAATAGACCCTAATTTAGATAATGAAACGATGTGAGAGTCTCTAAGGAAAAACAAAGTAATATAAAGGTAAAAAATGATGAAACCGAAAATTTGAAAAGAACCTTAACAAAATCGATTTAGCGCAACTGAAAATGTCGACTCACATGTAATATATTAGTCTGCATATATTTTAAATTATTTTAAAATGGCGTAATCAGTAAACTTATATGATTGGTATGTATCGATACTTATTAAAAAATATCCATACTTATGGACATAACTATTTACATTATTAAAACCTATTAAAAATATAGTTGCAATGGTAACATAATAGGTTGTGCCTTGTTGTTTTGTGAACCGATAAAATTATAAGGTTTTAAACGTTTATATTATAATAACATATTTAAGTTATAAAGTTTTAACCATTTGTATTATAATACTATATAATAAATTCAGTTGTGATGGTAACATAACATGTTCTGCATTGATTTTTTGTCCGAACCTGTTAAATTATAAGGCTTTAACAGTTTATATTTATAATAACCTATAAGAAATTCAATTGTGATGGTAACGTCATGGGTTGCGCCTTGATTTTTTTTTAACCGATTAAGTTATAAGCCTTTAACTGTTTATATTATAAATGTAACCCCTAGATCCGGCCTATGCGTTTGACTAAGTCTAGTGGATCACAAAAACATTTTTCAAAACCGTTATCCAATCAATGTAAAACCACATTATTCATGACATGAAATTATAATAAATTATACTATTTAAAACTCAACTCTTAAATATAAAACCAATCAGTAATAAATTAATTTAAAACATATTTTAAAAATCAAAACCGCGATAAATTGAATAGTAATAGCAAAAGTATCATCATTATAAAATCCAATACTTTAAAATAAGTCCATGTCACCAGAATAAAGTCAACTTGCAAGTTTAAAATATTACAATCAGATATACTTCAATAGATATGTTGATCCTCCAAGTGCTCGAACCGAGGTATCTAACTAACAGTATCTAAAAGGGGAAAAACATTTTCGAAAGGTGAGCTAGGCTCAGTGTGTCCCAACATTACTATAAAATCACAATAGGTACATTAAACATATTATAGTCCAGTAAATCTCACAAATTCGTAAAAGAGTTTAACTTTTGAAAATCATAGTTTAAACCCTTTTCTGGTACACCATCAGTAGTTCCCAAAATTATTTTCCATATAGCTTACTTTATGCACATAGCAAAAAGAAAGTCGACTTAAGGATAGGCTATGAAGCTTGTATCCTTAAGCCCAAGTCAATAAGTCCATATAGCTTACCCTAAACACACAGCAAAGGAAAGCCGACCTAATGAAACATCTTGGGGCCCTCAAGAGTCACATTAGACCCGTTTATTAGCTTGATCAGAGCTATACAATTGTAGTTCAATCTATCCCAAAATCAATATCCATATACCAGTCATCAAAGTCCATAAATCATCAACAATAAATCGGTGTACCAACAATAATAATCCATAGATTTCAATGTACCATATTTCAAAACATATAAAACCATTATGTAGTAAACAAGAACACACTTCGATAATGGGTTCAGATAGTAGATCTACTGATTGCTGGTTTCACCACGCTCTGTTACAGTTTTCGAACGGGTGAATACTTATATATGTGGTTTAACTGATCTAGAAGAGCTGGGTCAAGCTGTCAAACGATCCGGAGAGTCTCTTGCACCTTCAAACAATAATAATTAATCAACCCCAAATCTTACTTAATTGTTCAAAGCTAAAATTCTGAAGTATATAAGCATTTTTCGGGTTTGACTATCATTTTGGGGTATTTTGAGTCTGAATTTGGCCAAACGGATTGCGGAATCGGAATCAGGACGTCGAAAAACATAAAGTATGAATTTTCAAAAATTCATATTCTTGGTCAAAGTCAAAGTCAACCACTTTTACCATCAATTTGGAGGCCTTCGGGTTCGAATTTGACGAAACAGACTTCGGAAACAGATTTAGGACGTCGAAAACTATCAGAATAGGTATATACGGAAAAGATTTACGGTCATTTAAGGGTCGGTCAAAGCCATTTTAAGTTTTGGTCAAAGGAAGTCAACAGTCAACGGTCGGGTCGGGTCGGGTCAGTCGGGTCGGGTCGGGTCAGACCGATCAAACCGGTTCAGACCGGTCAAACAGGTCGAAACCGATCAAATCGGTTTCCAGCCCTCCACTCTCCCTGCGGCGGCGCGCGGCACGTGAAGCCTCCTCCGGGGGTCTAAAAATTCCGAAAAAATTTCTAAAAATTATTTTAAGCGATTTCGAGATACTTACAAAGATCGGTTCAAATTTTTGAACGGCGTAGAGCTCAATTTTAACTCGGTCGAATCTTTGACTGCTCCACCTCCTCACGCGCCGCCGTCGACGGTGAACAAGGTTGACACCGGCGGACTCAAAACGACACAAGGAACACGATGGTGCAGGAGGTGTCATAAACGGAGCAACGATCGGTGGTGAATTTAAGATTTTCCCGGCGATAGAGCTAACAAAAACGTCGAGACTTTGACTGTAAATTCCCGACGTTTGGCAGCGTTTCGCTTCAATTAAATTGAAGGATTTGTTCCACGCTCGATGATGAACACAACGGTGGTTTTAAAACGACGATCGGAATTTGGACGGCGTCGGAATAGGAGTTGGAAACGGCGTATGGGAAAGGAAAATTGAGAGCATTTTGGTTCTGAA